CGAAACCGATTTTTCAACATGCTGTTCCGATGCAAGTACTTGCTCACAACCTTGCTGTGCCACCGGTGTTTGCCTTCGAGAGAAAAGACATGGATTGCCAGGCGAAGTAGATAAGTTTCAAAGAATCGGCCGCTCTCGATTCTTCGTTGATAAAATCTGCTGCGCGACTGAAATTCCAGCAATCCGATCGATTGTTGAGCCCATTGCAGGAGTCAGTGGTGTGATGATCAATGTTACGAACAAATTGGTAAGTGAAGTACATGCGTTGTCCATAACCAAACAATCCTTGCTGTGAACAGAACTGACCCTATTTCTCGTTTGCCACTGAAAGGTTTATGTCGACCACGATACAACTGCAATAAAGGCAGACGACATCTGCGACTTATTGAATGAAGAAAATTTTGGAGCTCGTGTGGAACACGATCACGCCATCTTTACAGACGAAACATCGGCTTTTGTTGTTTCCATCTTTTCAATGAGTAGTTCCCACCCACCTCCCACTGTTAAACTCAATCATTTCCTTGAATCTTTCCCAAAAGAACGTATTGAGCGCTTCGAGCTAAACGTCCCACTCAATGAGCTGATGGTAATTCATAATCCGTTGTTCGTCACCGCTCCAAACCTTGCAGCTGAGATTGTCGCTAAAACAGGAGTGTCCATATCCGTTAAGGTCGATGGAGATGATGGAAAAGAGTGGATATTTTCCGAATACAACAACAAAGCTCCGACTACTAAGACAGAATCAAACAGGTTGCGCCCAACCGTAGCTCTTTCTGGAATTTTTTGGATCTTATGCATGCTATCCTATGTCGGCGGCAAATGGTAGGTGGGGGTATTGCTTTGTTTTGTTCCTCGTCGAAGATTTGAGCTAATTCAAATATATTTCTTTATTCTGCTTCAGGGAATACTTGGAGTATCTTGGCTTGGTGTCAGTTTTCTTTGCCCTCCCTCATATCGCGATGAAGGCTCTCCGTACAATGCGACGATGCCAGTTTGACGCTAACTGCCTCATGCTTTTTGCGACGCTTGGAGCTGTAGCCCTGCAGGACTTTGTCGAAGCAGCTGCTGTTGCATTTCTTTTTTCACTTTCTGAATGGCTTGAAGATCGTGCAACCGGTCGTGCCCGTGAAGCACTTTCGTCAATCGTTAATCTACGCCCAGAGAAAGCTAATCTTATCCATCCTAGGACCAAGGAGTTGGTAGTCGTTCCAGTCGAGCTGGTGCCGGTCGGAGCTACTGTGTCCGTGCGGAGTGGAGAAAAGATACCATGTGACGGAGTGGTCACTGAAGGATCCAGCAGTGTGGATGAATCGGTGAGTTTGACTGTGGGCTTGACTCTTACATATCCCAGGAGTCTGCTTTCTTAACTCCTGTGTTCCTGATATTTTTTATAGTCCCTAACCGGAGAGTCGCGACCCGTTCGAAAGATAGTTGGAGATGAGGTGCGGGGTGGCACTATCAACTCTGGCAACACGCAAATCTTGGTTCAGACCATTCGAAGCTCTAGCAACTCCGCGGTCTCCAGGTTGATTCGACTTGTAGAAGAGGCACAAGCAAATAGGTCAGACACGGAGAAACTAGTGGATCGATTCGCCCAAATCTATACACCAATCATTGTCATGGCGGCGCTTTGCATGTGTACAATTCCATGGGCATGGGGCCGTGATGTCGGTAGACGTTGGACTGAGTTGGGGCTTGTCTTGGTATGGCAATCTCTTGTTTGAAAGACATTATGGGACTGCTGGGTGTAGAAAACTATCGTCACTCATTTCAACGTATCTGCCCTTCATTTCAGGTCGTAATAGCATGTCCGTGTGCTTTGATTATTTCGACCCCAGTTGTGTATGTTGCTGGATTAGCCGCTAGTGCTCGCAACGGTGTATTGATCAAAGGAGGCGCATTTTTGGAGGCGCTCGGAAAGGTGAACACAATCTTCTTTGATAAGACTGGTACTTTGACAGAGGGTCAATTCAAGTTATTGCACTTGAGTACTACGAGCAAAACCTACAGTAGACAACAAATCTTGCAGTATTTAATGTTGATGGAAGAACGTGCATCTCACCCACTTGCCCAGTCACTTGTCGATGGAGCGAGAAAAGAAGGTGTTAAGATTCCACAGTCTCTTTTCGTCGAAGACCACACTTTCTTGCCTAGCGAAGGCGTTAGTGGAGTCATCAATGGTACGCAAGTCCATGTTGGAAACTCAAAGTTATTCAATCGTCTTGGACTTCTTGAGCTTTCGGGCGATCAGTTGGAGGCCATCCATGAATGGGAGACCATCGGTGGAACGACTGGTTTCATGAGTATCGGGGAGGAGGGCATCGTTGCCTTGTACTGCGTCGCTGATGCAGTCCGTCCAGATGCCAAGACAGTTCTTGCTGAATTTCAAGCCTTGGGAATCTCTTTGTGCATGCTTACTGGCGACCGCCGAGATGCAGCATTGTCGATCGGTCATGCCGTCGGCCTTCAAAACGACCAAATTCAAAGCGAATTGCTACCAGAAGAAAAGTTGAGCAGCATTTCAGATGCTAGGAATGTATCCAACGCTTCAACATCATGTTTATCTGGGCAATCATTAGTGATGATGGTTGGAGATGGCGTCAATGACGCTCCAAGTCTTGCAGCAGCAGATATTGGAGTTGCAATGGGTGCTGGTGCAGCTTTGGCAATGGAGTCTGCAGACGTGACGCTGATAGATTCCAACCTTGTGAAACTGTCATACAGCGTCAAAATGGGGAAACGAGTGATCAGAAAGATCAAGCAAAACATAGCATTCTCTTTGGTCGTCAAATTTCTCGTTTTGGGATTCGCTTTGGCGAACAAAGCCAACCTGTGGGCAGCTATTTCATCAGACGTTGGAGCCATGCTATTAGTGACATTGAACGGAATGTCGCTGCTACCAAGAGCGGGAAGGAATGATGCAAGCCAGACTTACATCGTGGCAAAAGAGCAAGACCACTTTGTCGAGGCCTAATGCCAAGAAGACAAGGAATTGTAGCCACGTGATAACAGGTGTAGAACTGCAAATGTACTATGGATGTTGTGATCTTGATTTCAGTCTTGTTGTTCGTTTACCAGTGCAATTCGGTCCGCAGTTTCGTTGTCGTCCTTACCGTAAACAAATCTGTTGTCAGCCACATCATCATTCGTCGCGTACACAGAGAGGTCGTCCGAAATCAAACCTGACGATAAAGACTGGTCTTCATGAACTTCAAGTTGGAATAGTGAAGTTGTCGTCTCTGGTGGAGAAACCCCAGATTCGGAGGTTTCACATGCTGACGGTACTTTGCGTTTCCAATAATGGGATTTTTTTGCTTGTTGCTGTCGCTTTCTCCTTCCGTACAATAGTACGGCTAGTAATGTTATCAATATTGCACCCACGCAACCACTTATTGCCACTTTTCTTTGGAGACTAGGTCCTTCTTTACCAGTTCGGCCAAGACTTCCAGTTCCAATAGCAGCACCGGCGTGATCGTATTCAGAATCCTTGTCGTCAAATATATCCAGGGGGATTTCATCAATGGCAATAAAAACTACTTTGGCGCTCTCCATTCCAAGTCTTTGCAGATATTCTTCAAGGTCCCTGCAAGATTGAAAACGGTACAATGTGAATAAAATCAAGGAAAGGTTGTAGATGCAACAACTGCATCGATGATCAAACAAAAACTCACGTGATGCCCCAAAAAGTAAAGTAGATTCGGAGCGAATGTAACAGAGACTCTCGAGTAGGGGCATCTTCAAAAAAGTAGGCAATCCCTTCCACACGCACACTGTAGCCGAACTCCAACCGCCGATGCCGGCCATGATCGTTACGAAATGATGACACAAGAACGTTGGAAGTCAAATGTGAATAATCGAAGTCGAAACCGTTGGAGTTCTTGGCCAGTATTTGATCCATAAACATGGTAAAGAAGGCGTTAATGTTGCGGGTAGTGGGCAGCGCAGCATCTTCGTCCGACAAGAGGATGTCAAAGGTCATGATGGGAATGAGAGCACCGTATACTTGTGCCTTCAGGGTATTGCGAACGGTAGGAGTCGGGCTGGGAAATGCCGATATGAATTGCGTAGGTTCTGCAGAAGGATAGGCCGATGGAAGTGCGGTTGGTGAAGCGGATATCGATGGCTGCACCGACGGAAATTCGGTGGGCTGTTGTGTTTTCTCTTTTTTTTCTCCCTTGTCTTGAGCGACAGCGCGATCGCAGAGGAGGATGAGAAGAAGAAAGACAAGAGAAAAAATTACATCATATCGCAATCGTCGATTATTTTTGATTCCGATTTTTCCATTCCAACTGCTCGTCATGATTATTTTCGCTGCTTTTGCTGTGTTCATGTCTGTAGACGGTGTCGTTGTTTGTGGGACAGAGAGAGAAAAAATGTGCTTCAGAGATGATGAAGTAATCAGCAAGAACTGCCAGGAACTGCAATTTTCCCGTACAGAGTAGCTCTTTAGCACGTCGTAGGATTGCACTTTCTGTCATGCTTCAACCATAGTAAGTTCACGTATCTTGTTTGCTACCATTTTCATCAAAAGATGACGTTCCCGAAATTTCTCTTCCCAACCGAAATCCAAAATGTGATTGACCGTGATTCTAACTGTAAGTTTTCTACGAAGTAGTAGTAGGACTGACGTGAAGTATGATACGACCCCCGACCCCCGACCCCGACCCCCGACCCCGACCCCCGACCCCCGACCCATCTTCGACCCATTTTGCACGTGCTCTTATTTACAGTTAGAGCACGTGCAAAACACAATTGCTCCGTATGACCGGATGTTGAACCTCGTACTGTAGTAACAGTAAATAATACAGTACCAACGGTACTACCGGTACCTACCGGGAATGAATGCTACCCGGTACCGGTAGTCCGAGTATGTACTACAGTCTGCGGCAGTTTTACGGTAGACTCTCATACCGGTAAACGAATGCTCTGTAGAAAAAAAAAACACCCAAACATGTATAATTATTTTCAGATACTAAATTTCCGATCATGATCTCTACGTGGACCGCGTAGTGTAGTGGTTATCACGTTTCGTTTACACCGAAAAGGTCGCCGGTTCGATCCCGGCCGTGGTCAATTTTTTTGGTTGGGGTTGGAGTAATCTAGCTCGAAGTACTTTTTTATTTTGATTGACCGTATTCTACTGTCAGTTTTTTTGTAAAATTATTTGATCTCTGTAGGGTTTCCAACGGAATAGCGATCAGATGCACGTGTGGTGATCGAAATCGTCCCAGCAACCTCTGAAAACGGACACACCCTTTGTTCCTTTGTTGCATTGTTGTGGACATCCAAAAAGACATTAGTTGGTCACTGTTAGTAGTTTGTTGCTTCTCATCTCCTCCTCTCTGCTGCTGGTCATTGTGTGATGCTGCTCTCTCGCCTCTCGCCTTGGCAGCGCAGACCACGCAATCGTTCGACCATTTCAACTGTGTCAAGAGGACCATGGAGACTGATGGACCCATTTTGGCTGTACAGTATTATGAATTAATAGTACGGCAGGAGACGGTAGGTACTTCGCACTATTATTATTTTATTTATCAATACGCTATGTACTTAGTAGTAGCTAGCTAGCTAGTAGGTAGTACTACAGCACTTCGTACTCCAGTAGTATGTATGATAGTACAACGCGGTCAGTCGAATTTTGAAACGAGCCCGCCCGCCTGATGCCGCTCCATTCCCTTTTTTTAAAAATTCGATGTAAAAACCCCATGTGATGATGTTGTTTACGACCTACCGGTAGCTACCTAGCTACCGGTAGAGTAGTACTACGTAATAAATACTCGGAGTATAATAATACACGAGTAATAAAAATAAACAGTACTACTCCGGACTCCGGAGTAGGTCGTAGTAAAGAATACACCTACGACGAGTTCTTTTATAAATAGACTACCGTAACTACTCCGTACTACTACCTACGGTAGTCGTTCGGTACTACTTACCACTACTTCTCTAAGATCTGGAGAACGACTTTACGTCGGAAGGAGTGTCGATATCTTTGACAAGGGAGGTTGCGTGCCGTCTTTTAGAAGGTGGATTGTTGCAAGGGAAAAAATTCGTTTGTGAGATGACTTTCACATGGTTGACCCGTCATCACAGCAGCTGGCTACTCTTGGTGTTGACAGCTGCTGCTGTCGTTAGTTGTGTTACTGTTTTTGCAATACAAGGTGCCGCATCCCAATGCAAAAGGCTCCAAGTAGACGAGCCACTTGCGATGTCGGCATCAGCGGTCCCGTCGCAAACTCCCTCTGTGGGAGTGACTCGAATAATGGCCTTGTCCCTCTTTACGAATGGCCACGTGTCTGTCACTTCGACACCCACTTCTGCTCCTACTGTTACAATGATTGCAAGTGGTGTCGTCCCTATTCAATTAAACGGAACCACCACGCCATCCCTCGCCTTGACGTCCACAGATTCATCGTTGGATTCTCAAGGTTCAGTCATGGCCCGGATACCCGAAATTACCATTGGTGTGAAAATTCAAGAGCCAACCATCATCACAACAAATGTACAGCCATTACTCGTTGATTTCTTTCAAGACTTTGTTGATAATCTCATTAGGGCCAGTGACTGGATCTCCTCATCTGCTTTTCAGCATTCCGAACTGGATGTATCTCTTATCAAGATGGCATCTTACAATCCCTACTTCAACCTTGGGATTGTACTCAACGGAGCAGCATTAGTGCTCGTGGATTCGGCATGGATAGATGATGATGCCTTTCGAAATTCTATACAGAAAAGTATGGTATCGTATCTATCGTTTTGGGGAACTTCCGAGTTGGAGGCAGAACTTGGATTGGTAGGGTTGCAGGAGGTCAAAGTGATGTCAATATCGGTCGATGGCGTAGAAGAACAACTGTACGAATCTTTGGCCCACGGGATAGGAACAGTCGATGGACAAAATGATGTCGTGGATCAAAGTGCGGCATACTGCTGTGTACCATGGGACACGTGGATACGGACCCCCTCCGTCCTCCCCTTTATCACTGGCCTACTAGCGCTAATTATTGTTTATTATTAGAGATCTACCTTCCAATGATTTCGGAAATCTAAGACTCTCACAGGCAGATTTCATGTACTTCTATCGACTTAACAGTAAATTACTAAAATCTGAGTAGTACCATCATCATGATGTTTTACTGCGGTGACTTAACCAGTGGTGCCGGATAGGGTATTCCATGGCGTAGTTACTACCCTCCGATTACCCGGTACGAAGTACCAGGAGCCAGGAGTGAATAAATAATAGTTGCCCCTTGATAACTGCCCCTTGTACGTCGTGAACATCTTCCGTATTAATTCTTCTTCGTGCGGGAACCCCCCATTCCCAATTCACCCCGCTTTTGAAACGAATTAACAGTAATTTCGCTCGTTTTTTAATTACGAATTTGGAGCCTTTGTCAAAAAAAATTCTCCCTCACAACATCATCATTACATCATTGTCACCGTGTCGCCTCTTTTTTTGTCACTCACGTCGTACGACTCTCATCACTTCTTTACCAACAGTCTAGGCTATATTTGACAATGGTCGGAATCGCTCGTTTTGCCAAAAAGACTAGTACCAACCATACTAACCAGGGTAACGCCCCCCAGGAACACTCCCATCAAGGTCCCAATGACGCCACAACTTCCATCCAACGCAGTGGGTCAGAAGAAGGCCCTCCAATGGGAGACGCCATGGAAATAGAAGCCTTTGGCTGCGGCGGAAACAACGATTTTCAGGATATTGTCAGTGACTTTGGCGACGACATTGGCATTGTGAATGGTGGCGGCACCAACTATTCCGTCGACTTCGATCTCAGTGACTGTGGTAAGTTTGATCATCGTCAAGAAGGAGCTAGCGTTGGCGGAAAAGACGCCTTTTGCGGTAACGATTTTGGTATGGACAATGTTGACGACTTTGACTTGTCCTACCAAGTCAACATGGCTGGTGATGACGATGCCAACAACATGTACCGCAACAATGGCAAAGGGTCAAAGGCGTCGGGAGGCTTTTCCAGATTTACCATGATGCAAGAAGAAGATGACAGCTTCAAAGGGAAAGGCGATAACAACGGCGGCTTCTCGAAGACTCTTCAAGAAGACACTTTTACCTCCAAAAACGATACCGTGAACAACAAGGGAAGGAAGACCATGTCCTCAAACGCTGGACTTGGTTATCTTTCGCAAGAACAACCGTCTACTCACCAACATCCAAGCGGCCTGGCCAACTCGACCGAAACAGCAACAAATAAAAACTCAATTGTTATCCAGAAGGATTCTTCTGGAACGATGGAAGGACAGATATTCCTTCAAGACAAACCCAACGTCAACTCGAGTGATGGAAGCCATCATACAGGAGGAAGAGCGTTGGGGCTGAAATCTTCCTTGGGTAGAGAAGGTGATTCTGTGACAGCTCAGTCAACTAGTGGTCATTTTAACAAAATCATCCCCTTGCCTCGTCGTACGATTCCTGGAATCGAAGAAACCAGTGGTCTCCGCCGGCCTCCGGAACAAGGTCAATTTCAATCAGCGATTCCAAAACCTTCCAAAGAAGCTCCAATTCAAAATCTCATCGATCGACGCCAAATCAACGAAGATTCCAGAATCTCAGCAGCAGCAAGTTCTGGAATGCAACGTTTCTCAAATGCGTCTATGTCAAAGGTCACATTGGAACACAAACATCTGCAACAGGTTTCTAAACCATCAAAGGTGCCACCGACTCTCCCTTCGACCGGTCCAAACGTCAAGACGGTCAGTCCTTGCCACATGGCTCCCAAGGAATACGTTGGTCCACCCCACGCTACCTCTAGCGACACTAATACGAAGACGATGGGCGGCCAACGAGAACTTCTTGAATTACGGGGACATGCGGCCGCTTCCATTCAGCGTAGCATCGACATGGAACACGACACCTTCGAACATGCCGAGGAACCCAAAAACCCAGAAGCTCGACGAGTCTCCATTGAAAATCCATCCAAGGAGAATCAAATGCATCATGTGAAAGCCATGATGCAGGATGCAAACAACCAGCGCCTAAACTCATCTGCAGCAGCATCGAAGCAACAGCAGCATCCTTCCCATGCTCGCTATCAAGCCGAGCGTCGAAACTCTACCGTCACCCCGGACGCTAGACGTGTATCTATTGAAACTCCGGTCGACGAACAATATCAATGCGATACACCAATGGAACACTTGTATCATGAAGGCCAGACTCTCCAACAAGCTCTGGATGATGACAAAGGATTGTACAACCAAAACGAGGAAACCAACCAAGAGTGGCCCAACAATGAACACCCCATGGATGAAGAAGGCAATGGGGAAGCGATGTATGCTCCATCTCTCTTCACCTTTGATGGCCAATCGCAAGCCTTCACGGACGCCCATGAACTAACCGAAGACCTTCAGAGCGAAATCTGTGCCGACCTACGCAAGATGACTGTCAAGTTTTTCATGGAGTACCCCGAACTCTTGCAACGATGCGACGAGTTGTTGGAGTTGTGGGGAAAGTGCGAGGACCTGGAATCGCAAGTCGACGGTGCCATGAGTCGCTTTGACGCAGTCATGTCGACTATCCTTCAAGGTGAAGAAGAAGTGGCCCCACCAAAGGAGGCCATGGAGACCGAGTAGGATCCAGTCAAGCCAATTCATTTGGCGACTCGGAAAAGTCGCGCCATGTTTTATGACTGTACCCAAAGCCTTCGCAGCCATTGAGCCATCAGGGCGAGCTGGATCAGTCTAGATAATTTCTACATCTCTTTGCCATGGGACAAAAAAGCTGCAATTATCATTCATGTGTGAGAAAAACGCTGGTTTTATGTTACGTTGGCTCTCTACTATCTGAGCAATGGTGGAAGTAAAATGAATCGTGTGTGCGTATTTCCAGTGCTTGCGGTCCCATAGAAGGAAAGTGGCACGATAGAAACTCTGACAACTGATGTGCAGAATCATTATCGGAAAGGGCTTGAAGTCGAGCACAAGGCTGGCGAGAGCCAAGCTAAAAATCCAACTAGCTAGGCTTTTATTTCATTTTTTTGAAAACTAAGTACTTACAGTTAGTAGTACTCCTCCAGTAATTCGTGTTTTTTTAGTGTTAGCACGGG